ACTATATAGGTCTTTATAAATATTTAACTAGTGCTACAGGAATTAGTTATAATTATTAGCACTTTATACACCTTATAAGTTAGTATTTCTATCTTACTTATAAATTCTAGAAGTAAAGCTATCTACTTAGCTTACTTTAGTAGGTGTTTCTTAATAAATTTATAAGATATTAAGTTATACTTTACGCTAAAGTTAAGGTTAGTAAATATTTTTACTATATATCTTTTGCTTTTTACTTATATTTTAGTATAGAAATAAAGTGTTATTCCTACTTTAGAGAGAAGTAAAGACGTAAGGTTTACTTTACCCCTCTACTTTTTCTTTTTTTCCCCCTTACTATAGGTAAAACTATAGCTACCTAGGCTTTAGTCTTACTATTAGTAAAGAGGTTCTTTAGTTTCCTTAGTTCTAAGCAGTTTAAAGAGATATACCCCTTTTAGTTATAATTATAATAAGTAATATCTTACTTATCTTAATTAAACTTAAATTACTTTAGAGTTAAACTAGTATCTATTAAATCTATATTATATTAGTATTTTAGTACTACTTTCTCCCTATTTCTTTTACTAAAAGTACTAAATTTATCCTTATAGAGTGTTCCCTAATCTTATTAAGCTATATTTACTATTTTTACTTAGTTCTTTAGTAACTTAGGTATATTTTATTTAATTACCTCTTAAAGACTACTAGTAAGTTAATAAAAATATTCAAAACTATACTTTTTTTCTAGCTTTATTATAAATTCTTTTTCTAAGGAATTAAAATAAGTATAGAATTACTTTAGGTCTTAATCCTCTTTTTATTAGGCTAATATAATTAATTTTATAATATTTAGTTCTTAATAGACTATATCCTATAATAGCGTTTTAGTTTACTTTAGGAAATAATTATAGTCTTTTACTAAAGGTTATTCCTTATTTATAAGTAAGTTAAGATAGTAATCTTAATAAACCTTATACTTATTATCTATATAAGCCTAGGCTAATAAGATATATTTATATAGCTTCTAGAACTTCTTAGGTGTAACCTAAATAGCTACCTTTAATAAGAAATAACAGGTAGATTAGTAGGTTAACTAGATAGATAGGTAAATAGATAGGTAGAAAGATAGGTGTAGTTTTATTATGCTTAGAAGGCATAGAGAGCTAGAATCCCTTAAGGGGATCTTATCTCTATATATAATTAACTAACTTCTATATTTCTAGTAATATATATATTAACCTTTATATTATATTATACTTATTATACTATTATATAGATTTGAAACCTTATATTGTTACAGCCTGTTTTAAGCTAGTTACAGCCTGTTACACTACTTGTTACAGCTTGTTACAGCACAATACGGTCTGTTTGATATCTAGTTTTATTTAAGTGGATATTTCTATTTTTAGTACCCTAGAGTAAATCTAGTTACTATTAATATATCTACTTTTTATACTTCTTGGAGATAGAGTACTAGAGAGTAAATCTCTATAGGTCTATATCTAGAAGTAAAGGTTATATTAGATATCTTGTATATATATATATATATAGTAGTGTTACTTTAAGGTTATAAATAAGGTTAAATTTAAGGTTAAATTTAAGGTTATAATTATATAAGCTTTTATATCTAAGTCCTTTAAGTTATTAACTTATACCTCTTAGGCGTATAGGCTTAAATATAAGTAAAGCTTTTAGATTTCCTTATAGTTAAAGCCTTAGTTAGAACTTAACTAGGACTTACTAAAGCTTTATTAATAACGCTATTTCTTTTCCCTACTAGCTTATTCCTAGTTTATACGTTCTAGTTTTATAATCCTCTGCTCTAAGGCCTTATATTAGGCTTAGTCTAATTATAGTAATATATTTACTGCCTGTCCTTTAAGAATTAGTATTTATTCTCCTTCTTATTTAGCTATAGTAGTGCTTCTTAACCTATAAAAGAGAAGATTTAGAATTATAATAGACTATTAAAATTATAAAGATGTATTAGTAATTATAGTTCTTATATTATATAGAAGGTAAATCTTAGAGGACTATTCTTTTGTAATTTATAAGGCTATTGCTAGCTAAATACGCCTTACTCTCTAAAACACTATGCTAACCTTAAGATAGTTAGGTAGCTATTACCACCTGGTCTTAGGCGGCGCCTTTTAGTTAAGTGGTTATTGTCCTATAACATACTAGAAGTATAGTACTTAATCTCTTTAGACTTTATTATTAAACTACTAAAGTTAAGAGAACTTTTTATAAAGATATACTATAATAGCGTTCTAGTAATTATTAACTAACTTATAAAGTATACCTACTTTATACTATACCTAAAGTTAAGTATAATAAAAGACCTAGTATATACCTTCTTAAAATATATTATTAGTAACTATAGTTTACTAAAAGAAATTATCTTTAATAAAGATAAGTTATTTACCCTAAAGTTTTAGAAATCCCTAATTTTATAACTTAGTATAAACTATAAACTATTTCTTATATTTTACTTATAAACTAATAAATAAATAAAAAGAATTAATTAGATACTTAAATAGTATTTATAATACTATATTAACTATAACTAAGATAATTAGGTACTACTACTACTTATAGCCTAATTTACTTATAATAGTGCTACTAAAGAAAGCACTTAGAACTTACTATTCTACTTAAACTATAGATTTTAGCTAACTGCTTATAAAGAACCTAGAGAAAGCCTATAGGCACTAAAGGCTATAGCTAATATTAATAAAATAAGAGAACTTTAAAATAAAGTAGCCCTAGACTTAGAATTTATTAGGATATAAATAAAAAGATATACTAATACTTTAAGGATTAAGGGACTAACCTTTAAAGAGGGGAATAACGTATACCTCTTATAAAGAAATATTAAAATAAAGTAACTAAGTAATAAGCTTAACTATAAGAAACTTAGACTATTTAAAATCCTTAAGAGAATCTTAAATATTAACTATAAACTTAACTTACTAAATATAATAAAAGTTTACTTAGTTTTTTATATTATACTACTAAAACTAGTACTATAAGGATTAAGTACTAATAACTATATTATTATTAAACTTTATAAACTAAAGTATAAAGTTAAATAAATTATTAACTATTAATATAAAAATAAAGAAGAATAATACTTAGTTAAGTAAAAAGATTATAAATATAAAAATAACTTATAAGAACTAGTTAAGAACCTTTAGTACTTTTAGTAGCTTTTATAGACATACTAAAGTTAAAACTTACTAAGTCTAAATTATTTTATATAGCGCTTTAGTTAATAACACTAAAAGCACTATTAGACTATACTTTATAAATAATAGTAAATTCTACTAAAACCCCTTTAGACTCCTTAGGAAGAGTATTTAGAATACTTTAACTTTTCTTAAACACTATTCTTTTTACTTACTAAAGATAATCTAACTTTACTAGAGATTTATTTATTTTAGCTTACGCCCTTTATAGCGCCTTAGTATATTTTTAAAGAAGCTATTTAGCCTCTTCTTTTTTATAATCTAAATAATTAGACTTAGTTAAGAGATAATTTACTATTACTTATTAAAATAAGAAAAACTAATAAAAAAAAAGCCTTATACTTATTAATAGTACTTATAGTTATATTATATAAATAACTATAATAAGTATACTTATAATACTTTAATTTCCTTATAAGTATCTTATAATAATAACCTACTAACTAATAAAATAAATAAGGTATAACGTTAAAACTAAATTCTTTTATTTCTAATATAAGCTTTAGATAACACTATATAAAAAAAGCTTTTTAATAATCCTTTTTACTAGATATAGTATTAGTATAAAAGATTAAGGATTAAGATTAATAACTCCTTAACCTAAGAGATATAACCTACTTATATAGGTCTTAAAGGTAAGACCTTTAGAGGGGAGACCTAATATTATAACCTAATAAGTTATAGGCTATATTACCTTACCTAACAGGCAGATAGTAAGTAGCAGTAGTATTTATATAAATAAGAGATAAAAAATAAATAAATAACTCCTTAAGAACAGAAGAACTATAGTATAAGTTATATAAAGATAAAAAAGTAATTATATAATAAGGTAATTACTAGTAATTATAAAAGTAAGCGCTTACTAGTATTTACTAAGCGCTTACCTTATATAAGAATAGTAATTACTTATAACTATTAGTTAATAGGACTATTTAGGGAATAGCTAGGACTTATATATAGGATAGACTTAGATACACTTAAGGACAGACTTCTATAGCTCTTTAGTAATTAACTTATAATATATTCTTTAAATACCTTTTAGTATTTAACCTTAGTAATTTAATTAACAAGAGCTATATAAGCTACCTTTACTAATTACTAGGTAATTAACAGACTAATAAGATAATAATTACTGTTACTAAGTATCTCCCTCTGCTTACTATTAGTAGAAACCCTACTGCTTAGAAACTGGCTGTAACATTACCTTATAGTAAATTATTAGGGAATAGGTAGTAAATTAGCCCTACCTTTAGGGGTAACTTTACTAATAATATTACTAGGATTAGCTAGGGATTTCCTAACTAAGAAATAAGGGGTTTTCCCTGTTTCTATAGTAATTTAATATAGTTATAGAACACATAACAGAATTAATTAAGTAACTATTATAATCCCTACTATTTAATACTAATAATAACTGCTATATATATATAAGCCTCCTGTAATAGTATTCTTAAAGGCTCTTAGGCTCTGCCAAGAGCCAAGTTAAGAATCTTTGTCTAACAAGCAAGCTGTTAATTTCTAAGTACCACCTTATATAGTTAATCTTACATAAATCTCCTAAAATACTATTGTACCTAATATCTATTCACCTCTACCTTCACAGGCTCCATCGCTTCCAACCCACCAGTAGTATCATTGATTTTCTGCCGAGGGGTAAACATGATATCTTTTGTTTTTGCAGTGGTCTCCCGCGCAAGCCGCCACAGCCATTCTGGGCCAGCTCTCTATGAGACTGTTAGCGTCGTCCCTAGCGCAGGGAACATCAGAGCCCATACCAAAGCAACCACCGATGACATAATGCCAGGCAGGTAGATTGTTCTTCCGAAGCCGCTGTATAGAGAGTCTACGATGGCTTCACCAACTGAGTCAACGTGGAGCAGAGGTATAACAAAGTGCGGCTGACCGGGGTCAAAGGTGACAAGCGGCGTGCGGATGAAGCCGAATATTCCAAGCGTTTGCCGAACTTTGGGTGCTTTGTGAACGTACTTCAACTCAAGTTGGAGCGCCTAGTGAGGGGTTTAGCAAAGAGTCAGAGCTGAGAAACTTCTGGCATGGCACCCACTTCGTGCATCGCGGTAAGCCCGGCCTTGGTGGCCGAATAGTCGGCGATCCTCGCTGGAGGGACCACTGAGCTCATAGACCCGATATTGACGATGTGGCCATGGTTCTTGCGGACCATGTAAGGCAGGAATTCCTTAGTGAGGAGGAATGGTGCTATGAGATTAGTCTTGATAGTAAGCTCAACATCTGCGTAGGAGCCTTCCATGATGGTGCGGCCCCGTGCGATTCCCGCATTGTTGACGAGAACGGTGGGATCCCCAACTTTAGTTCGGATGAGTGTACAGAGCGACTTGAGCGCCGTGGCATCGGTGAGGTCGCACTTCAAGTAGTGGATATTCGAACCTTTCGGAGGCTCCCAGGATAACGGGGCAAGGTCAACGACGACAATGGTGGCTCGAGGGGTTCTGGCCAGAATGTGCTTGATGATGCTGTGGCCGATGCCACTGCTTCCTCCAGTGACAACAATGATCTCTTTGTCGAAGTCCCAGGTGTCATCTGTCGTCCAATTGTTTGCTGACCATTTGTTGAGGTATTGTGTGGTTGAAATGACAACACTCGCCAGTGCGGCCAGAAATGCTACACGCTGAGCGGTGTCAGGTCGAAGATCCAGCAACCCGGATGCTCCGTTCTTTCTTGCCGACACCATCGTCACACCAGCGGCGAATGGTACCGATAGGTACGGGTTTAGAAAAGATTTTCGAAGCCATCTTGCGACCACATCTATCGTGAAGCCTTCATGCGATGTAATCATGTTGAAAATTCGATACAGTCCTACAGAGTAGGGCGAGGGTTACGAATTGAAAATTGGATAGTCTATCAAGGTTCCGTATTCAGCCGTGATATATAATCGAGGCCAGCAGCTCAATAAATCAAGTTATCGAAATGGGCATGTTTCAACATATGCCGAGGGCAACACACTCCAGACCTCTAGAATGTGCCTCTGATGTGAGGAGCCGAGGTCCGTGGGGACACCACCACAGAAACAAAATTGACCAATCTGATAGCACAGATCTGCACAACCATGAAGCTCCCAAACCCAGATGAGGTTTGCAGCCCGTCAAATGAGGGGCATCCAGAACAGCAGAACCAGGAAGTGGCCTGGACTGTCGGCGGGGTGCTTCGTCGGAGCTACTGCCGGCCAATCTATTTAAATCTAAACGAGTGCGGATGCCCCCTCGCTTTGCACCCCGCAAGATGCCTCGGTCCATGTTTGGCGCGTTGCTGAGCCCTTCAGGCCGTGCTTTCGCGGACAGACATGCCACTGATACTTCCGAGCCACCAGACGCCTTTGCGTTTCCTGTCCGCGTCAAACCGTCTGTCCGAACGTTCGGCAGCAACCAAAGCCGTGCGGGATTTCGTAATGGTTGGGCCACCCGCAGCAGTCTTTCACATTTAGGTCGGCCACACGACGGAATCGTAGACTCGTCGGACACCAGACGAACTTCGGCGGTCTTCTTTTGGGCGACTATCGCGTGCGACTGAGGGAACGATTGGCAACATGAAGGCACCGAGACCGCAGCTTTCGCTGTGGGAGAAGCGAGATCTAGTGTTTCGCTTGCTCTTTCGCGGTACGTTGACTTTCCTGTATTCTGTAGGTGCTGCTTTGCTGATGACGCCTGAAACTCAAGCTCCTTTGCAGCTCATCTGGAATTTCGCTTATGGAATGCCCTTTGCCGCCGCAAGAGGCGTTTCGGTCTGGTTCTTTGCCATTTGCGCATACTACCGCTTCGCGCTGGGATGCATGCGAGCGCGTGAAATCCAGTTTCTGCTTCCTCCATCACTAAGAACGTACGAGAAATGGATCGCCAAGAAGAGAAAGAGGCATCCGGAACACGCTGGCAAACTGAAAAAGCACATTGAGATGCTCCCGGCGAACGACGGCTCGATCATGTGGATCGGTGACAGACAGAAGGCGACAAAGTTCGTCCTCTTCTTCCACGGGGGCGGCTACGTCGTACCACTACTCCCTGGTCATCTTGAATGGTGTTGGGAATCCTACGTTAATGGCGGCCCTGGAGAGCACGCAGAGGTGGCAGTTGCCGTGCTGCAATACACCCTCGTCCCCGAAGCGCGATACCCTACGCAGCTCCAGCAAGCCATCGCGTCCCTCAATCAACTGATCCTGTCGGGCATTGAGCCCCGCGACCTGATCATCGGCGGCGATTCCGCTGGAGGCAACCTGGCTTGCTCCGTCATTCGCCACATCTGCCACCCGTGCCATCTCGAAATTCCGGCCTTGAGACTCGAAAGCCGTCTTGCGGGCGTCTTCCTCGTGTCTCCGTGGCTGACCAGCAAGACGAAGGCGTCTTCTTTCAAGGAGAACAACTACGTCGACATGATCAAGGCCACAGCCGTGTGTAATGGAACGGCCGAGCTCCTCCACCCACGGTTTCCCGTCAGAAACAAATCCGACGAGAGTGATCTTGCCATGGCAATGCCGATGGACGGCGATATGGCCTGGGTGGATGACATATCGACGGCGACGGCGAGCCTGTACATCACCGCGGGTCAGCAAGAGGCTTTCAGGGACGACATCAGGTCGTTTTCGGAGCACCTGAGCTGTGGGAATAACGATCTGGATCTACTGCTTGAGCTGTCAGAACACGAGGCTCACGATTTCATTTTGCTCGAGGGCCAGACTCGTCGGGTCGGAGACGCAACGGTTAGGATGAGAAATTGGGCAGCGGCGCAGCTCGGGACGGGCCGTAGTCCGGTGTGACATGCATTCTGATTCGAGAGTGATCATGGGGTCACCGTATGAATGATATTTGCTTCATTCTTCCATTCCTCCTGGAGCCAACTTGAGTGAGGTCCATGCGTCATCATCGTCGTCGGCGACGTCGGCATCATCTTGTGACTTTCGTTTTGCCGCAGCAGAATCCCGCGGTGGGTGAGTGATATTTGTGGGAGAAGCAGCATGGACGGGCAAACAACGGTGATCGGAATCAAGACCGCCAAAATGAGCTATGATCTCCATAATGACATGCCCATGGACGCTCCGTATTGATGTGAAGTTAAACTGCTGACAGCATGATAGTGCCCTCTTCAGCAACCCTTGCTTAGGGGCGTTGCAACCCCTGGTCAGTATCCTGGTCACATAAGAACAGTTCGTTCAATCAGAAAACAATACTAGGTACTGCATCATCCCGCACCACCTTCTTGAAAGGGTCGTCGAGTCATACCAAGGGTCCAACCAATCGAGACCTGGTCATTGGGTCAGTTGCCTAGAGCGGGGTGAAAGCAAGCAAACGCGTCGCGTCTGTCGGACAGAAAAACTCCAAGCAGCACGGCTCAAAACATGTCCAGTTGCAATAAGATCCTGACGGTATTTCCTCCCTCAGTCGGTTTGTCTCGTGAGCTTCCATCAGTCTTTGCTCTCATATTTGTCGGAACCCGTCCAAACGCCATCCCTTAAAATAGCAACCATGCCGCTTCTTGAACAAAGCCCGCTCAACTGCACCTTCAACCCTGACGATGTCGTCGCAGGCCTCACTCAGTATTACTTGACCCTTACGCGCATGGCTTATATTCCGGCATCATATGTCGACTTCCCCCCTCCTGGGGGCTGGACTGATGTCGAGCTTGACGTGGGAGCTCTACGTGCGCTGCGGCGCTCCGAGACGGTCATCAATTTGCTGCGCCATCTCCCTTATCCTAGGCCCATGCACGACGGACCGCGTCCGGGACCCTGGAACGTCGCACCACGGTCGAAAGCTGTGCGCTATCTTCGCCATATGGGCAGTTTTAGCCAGTGGTCCGATCGCGGAGACGCTGGCCTTCACGAACTGGCAGCTCTTCCCATGGGCGATACACCTGCTGCGCCGATGGATCTGCCACCTGACGTTGTCTGCCTTACGTTTGGCGAGCGCCAGACGCGCAACGGCGCCAGACCGTACTGGTGGATTGTCGACTGCAGCAGAGGCATCTTGACGCCGTTCCAGGAGGGCACTTATGGCATCGCAAAGGTCCCGCGCAACAAGCCCTGGAGGACTGTTCAATCATATCCCGTCTCGGACTTCTTCGCCCGACTCGTGCCGGACTTGGGTCTGAACCTTTTGCCAGTGCCGCCCACCGAGGACCTCGACGCCGAGGTGCTTGGTCCCTCTTCGGGCAGCCTTGGCCGCGAAGTAGCCCATATTTACATGGCGCACGGATGGTCGAACGCGGACTTTCGGCATGACGAGTGCATAACCGCCCTGCAGGCTTGGCGTCGCCAAGTGCAGGAACGAGAGCGCCAAAAGATGGCGCAGGACGTGGACGACGCCGATGATGAAGACTTCGAGATGGAGGATAGCGACGACGACGACGACGACAACGACAACGACAACGATATGGACCAAGGGGAAGCAGGCGAGCTTCTCGCCGAGGCTGTGGCGGACATGGAGGTGGATGATCTGAGCGCCGAGGCTGCTGCCCTGAGGGCTGACATGAGCCCGGAGGAACGCCGTAGGTTCGACCGAAGAGAGAACCAACTACCGCCCTTTGAATGGATTGATTCCGAATGATTGAGCGACTTCCGCAGATATGAAGAAGCTATAGAACTCGATAGAGATATGATCAACGATGTATGCCTGACGAGCGGACTGAATATTATAGAGCTCAACATGAGACTCCAACCATGGGATGCCGCAACGTTTCTTTGGGGAAATGAGTCAAAGATAAACACAAAGTCATTCCGAGAAGATCTCAAATGCATCAACTGCTCTTCCGGGCTCAACCCCACTTCAAGTCCCGGTTCTGAAAGTTATAGGAATCTGATCCCAGGAAAGTGTGAAATGAGCATACAAGGCCAAGAAGTGTGCTGAGCTGGGCCCTGGTTGTCTAGGCGCAGTGTCTTAGTAAAACCGAGCGCGTTGGGCTTTCACGACGGTTAAAGTCAACAAACCGCAAATGAGAACCTGAAGGCGCACTTCAACTCCACCTTACTTGCCGTTTACGGCAAACTCCTTCCAGCATGGGATGGAATGAGATGCACGGCAGGGTATGCGTGAAGTGCTGTGCTGATTGCCAGATCAAAAGGCCGTCGGAGTAGGTCCCAGGGGAAGTCTATGACAGGCTAAGGAAGAGCTGAGGCCATGATCTCAGGTGTTGCGTTCAATCCTCAAGTAACCTGGCTCCGAAAGACGAGAGCACCGGAAAAGCGAGTGCTTACATGGTATACTGAATGCATGTTTTATGGAATCTACTATGACACAATCAACTTTGAGAGCGTGTTTGAAATTCTTGTTGAGTTTGCCGAGGAGTCACTCAAGGCCCTGGCTTACTTGCCCCAAGGCCCACTTCCGTCCTACTTCTCCTGGTCAAGTGATGGACACGCGTTGTGCCAGTCTAGATGAAGTTTGAGAGAAGGAAGTACCAAATAGATATAAATGAACACAAGATCTTATCCAATGCAGATGATGCAGATCGATCCCCGATATTGTTTTCACTTTGTGGTAACATCTTAGCCCATTCGAACAGGTGGGCCCCAAGATTCGTCTCTCTAGCCCCGAGGGCTTCCTTCCAAACATGTAGATGGGAGAGGCAATAATTTGTAGCAATTCGATCAAACGCGGTAGGCATAGAGCAATACTGGGTAACTGATTCTATCTAGGTTCCATTATGCATTATATCTGATTCATTTCAAGCATTAATATGGTCTTCAAGACACGTAGATGGTCTTATGGCATCATCACAGGAATAAGATGTAATACAAAGTTGGGTAGTATTTGCGATTGGGCCAAGTCACGGTCATATCTACGGAGGGTTTTGACATCTGGTAGCACGTGTGAAGGCCACACTGGAAGAGGTTACTGCTGATTGCATGTGTCCAGTTTGACCCCGCTTGTGTACGAAAGTCGATTGAAGCCGACTTACCATGCCAGAGACGCTTACAATGCCATTTATAGCTTTCAGGCTGCCTTCAGAGGCGACAAAAGCACCATAGTACCATACAAATCATGTGGTGAATCGACAAAGACAATGCAACTTTCTTGCTGAGACCCAAGCATCTAAGAAGCTATGATCTACATCGCCTGAGGAAGCGGAAATGATTTTTTAATCTGTGACAATTGAGGCATTAGCACAGCTGAACGGCTGCTCACCATCAGATTACCCATACCAAAAGAGAGATTTGATCAGTCGACCTTTTCCTGATGACATCTACTAGCCGGTTGACCATCCGCGGAATCATCACCGCCTTGCCAGAATGCTCTGCAACGTTGCTTCACAGATCAAACGGCCATCATTCATAGGTATATCTACTAAAACTGATATGGCTACGGATTTTGTATTTAATACTTGTGATCTTCTGATTAGTGAAGTCCTACAAGGACATCAACCAAACAGGGATCGCAACTGAGGTAGGATTCATCACTGAGTCGGTGGTGGAACACTTTGAGGGGTAGCGCTGGAGTACGAAATCTCACATGCCATAACTCGGTTCTCATCACTAGAGATGGTCCTCTCATGTGACCGTACTGACTCCGCAGTGTCTGGTTGCGCAACTAACACCAATGATGCGGAAAGTGTTGATTTCACAGCTGCTGATGTCTTCAACGGCCGCCCTGATGACTTTGACAACGGCTCTACGAGGAATGATAAAACGAATTTATCGCCCCGCCTGTCGACATCTGGAACACACATAATGAGAGCCTTCGACTGGAACCGAAAACATGCCGGAGACGCCGGTCAGCATTTTATTAGTGCGCTGTAGTCGAGCAAGGGCTCAGCTTGTTGTTGCCTCGCAGCACATGCAACTGCCGTTAAAACCATGAGGCGGCTCACTCACTCACTGTAGCAAAAAAGAAGGTTTGGTCTGATAGTTTAACCTCGCCAGAAAACGCAAAATCATTTCATCTGCGGTCTGCAGACGCGTTGCAAAGCCCGAACCGAAAGCAAATGAGCCATTAGAATCGCCCGTTTCATTAGGTGTGCCGGTAGTTCAAGATGCCCGGGGAGCTGCGCATTCGGGAAATGCGGCCGGCGGTGCAGTCGGGGAGTACTCCCGATGTCAAATTCTCGGACATGAATCTAGTGATATGTCGCAAATCCGTCGTCGAATGATCTGGCCACGCCAGAAGAAACCTTGCTAAGGCTCCTTACGCGTTGATTTGCGTCTTTGCTCTTGGAGGAGCCTCTTTCAATGTTCTACGCCTCTCGATAAATATTTAGGGCGTTCCATGTGGGTGTGATCATGGCCCAACCTTTGAGCAAAAGTTACTTACTACGCGCCGACGGCCCATGTCTCATATCAGCCCATCCCGGCCCTGAGGCCTTTTTCTTTTCTTTCTTTTTTCCCCCTTTTTTTTGGTTACGCACTCCACCAAACTCTTTCCCACATGCCACCGCAGACTGAGCCTGACTCAAGGCTAGGGTAGGATTCAGTTTTGATCAAGATTAGAGTGCCGGAGGAAATCTACCTGTGAGACGGGTTTGGAATAACATAATGATGCGAATATGTGTTCCTGTGTCCAATCTACAGACAGGTGGCAGGAGGGGAAGATCCAACAACAGTAGAAATGGTGCTTGTATGACGTACAATATATAGCTTTAAACAAATTTTACAACAGCCACAGTACATTGAATTAAACAGTGAACTTTGCGAGCGCCCAGTCTAGTACCCTGGCGCAGTCACTGATGCCACCTTCGTCGAACTCCCAACAGTTTGACAGTATGTCTTTTTGAACCAAAATCGTTCTCTTCCAGTTCTTCGGGTACGCCATTCTACTTGGTATGTTGAGCGAGGGTATCGTTTGAGCGCGTTCGGCGGCCGTTAGCATCAGAGAGCATGTTACGAAGCCTCGCAGCTGGAGCCAAAGGCCATGATGTGGCGTCGATGAGGTGGCCTGTATCCTGTATAGGCAGTACTGCAACCCTCTGGAGGTGATCTCCGCTACCCTCGTAAGGGCGTGTTCCGACACTGTTACGGGAATGGAAATGGTTGTGGCTAGCCGCACAAACGGCCTGCAGAGTAACTCTCGGATTGCCAGGTACCGCGAACGCAGCATTTGGCACAAGTCATCGGCAAGTGGGGATATTTCTCCGGCTGGGACTTGAAACGAGATTGGCGGAGGCAATTGCTCGTACCAGTCCGTCAGCTGGGCTTCATACACGTCAAAGACCTCGAGCATGCGGTCAATGCCGGCATCGGTCAGATTTAAAGGCGACCTCTTCTGAGCCTGCTTGATGAGGTTGATGAGATGCCTCGCGGAGATCTCGGCTAGGTAGTAATGCCAAGATCTGTGTTCCATGAGGAGGGGCTTGTTGTCAATATTCACAACCCCAGGACTGGAGGGGTTGGGCAGGCTATATGGATAGTCCACCCCGGCCAAGATGGAGCCGGGCAGAGAAAGCTCAAACGCGAGCTCACTAAGATACGGTGAGCCAACGGCCGACCTATCATACAGGCTACAGGCTCAAATAATACGTACCACTCAGACTTGAAGCAGGTGAAGTAGAGTATCTGCTCTAGTGATAGTGACTGGGGGAAGTCAGACGGCGTTTCGGCTTTGCCGGATGACTTTGCCAGCCTGCGGTTTTTGTCAGCCAAGGGATACCCAGACATTGTCATGAGAATGAGCCTAATACTTGTTCATCAGCGAGGTGGTGTACCACGTGTTGCTCGCCATACTGAAACATTTCCAGGCCTGTAGGGGATCCATGTTATACATGTGCCAGATTCTACCCTTGTCAGCCCTGTTGACAAGGACAACGAGTCAAACAGACATGCGGGAGGGGCCGTCTTACCCTGCCAGGCACAAGCATTGGACAGATTCCCACCCTGGCGATCCCATGGAAAACCCCAGCCGCTTCTCCGCGACGGACCAGTATCGCGAGGCCAGATGACGATTAGGTTCCACAGAGTACCCGCGAGGGGTCCCACTAGGTGTCCTCTGTCCAGGTCTTTGTGATATGGCGCCAAGAGCACATGTAAGCGCAACGATACAAGTTGCAGCCGACCAGTCAGGGCCGTTCTCCGCAACTTGCTTCAGCATCTGACGCAGCACTTGACCATCAATTACAGGATTCATGGGATTGACGTTTGCAAGAAACAGGTCAACAAGCCGGGACAGTTCGTAGAACTCCATGGCTGGAGGTGACCTCGGGGAGAACACCTCAGCCCGGGGAGAGGCATGGCTGAAAGGGTCTATCGCGAATGGTACAGGCTTGGGAAATATGGGCCACTCGAGCACGGAATCCAGGCCGGCGGAGTCTGATAGCGAGAGACTTGTCGAGCCACCGGCGGCGCTGTCTTGGCCAAGAATATTAGGTTCAGGGCGTCCGCCTTGAAATGTCGGGCTGTCTGGGTAGTCGGCAGAGTCACGGGAAAGATCGCGGCTGAGTTGTGGGATGGCGCGAAAGTTGTCCTCGTTGCGTTGGATGAGGTTGGCCAGGTTCTCTATTGCTCCCAACAGGCGCGGCCCAACCCCTTGGCATCTAGCGTCGTCATCCACACCTATCAGTGTCCGTCCGTCATATCCCACGGGTCGATACTCAAAGTGTAACCGGACACGAACTGATTGCAACGTGGGGACCCCAGGAAGGCAACTTACAACGACGTGGCGGGAACCGAGTCTTCGATGTAGGTACAAGTTGCGCCAACTCTCCTGCAGTAGCCGCAAATGGGCCTCTCGTTATCGCATTTGGTCTTGCGTCCGCGACAAGTCTGACATGCGGATGATGCGCGAGACCAAGTCCTTTGCTTCGGTATCCTGGGGTCGGCTTGCTGGGCGTGCGCATGATCTACAGGGACACCAAGACGGCCGGGAGGCGATCCGCTGGGCATGCCCATGTCGGGGAAACCCCGATCGGCGTCCATTCTCATCCTCTTCGGCGGTGGGTCCATTACGAAGATGGATGACTTTCGGGAGATCCGTCGCTACCTAGTATCATGTGTCGGGGACAACAGCGACCGAGGATGAGAGGAGGATGGTGAGCCATCGGCAATCGCAAGTTTAATCATCGCAGCGTTCGTCTCGCAGCTCTCCGCAGAATCGTTTCAGATCCAACGCAATGGCCTCCATGAGCTTCATTCTCCCCCTCACTTACTTGTGTTGCGCGTCATAGAGCTTGCTTCAAACTCTTTACGCTCGGGGACCACCCCCGACCGAACCGTCCATTGGTCGCTCTCTTCGGGGAGCCTTTGCCATCGGTGTGAGCGTGGTGAGCCCCCCATTCATTCTGTCGGCATAACGAAATCCCGAAAGCGGTCATGGGCTTAATAGGCATTAAGTTTACAACATGGATGGCGTTCATCCTGTCCAACCTGCCATCCGATTCCCGAGTTCGGCGAAGGCGTCCTCTACCGCGGACAGCGAATCAGGCAGGCTCCAATACAGGCTTTGGTTTGGGGAAGAATCCACACACCCCGTGGAGAAAGGTCATCCTTTTCGGGGGTCGACCCGGGGACGAACCAGCGCCCTTGAATCATCTGGATAGGCAGGCTTCTTGGCCGGTCCAGCCATCGTGATAATTCCATTATCCTTGCGTATATTATATGTCTCTCCGCTCTTCCCCAAACCTTGATGGACTTGGGTTGATCCTGGCTCAAGAACCTTGCTGCTTTTAACTGATTGTGACGGTAGTCTGTGAACGATTGGCAGTTTCTGGTCCAGTCCCAGTTCGGTTCGGCAAAGACGTAGGATGGGATTCCTCAAGCCGAGCACGACTGAAAAGTCGAAGCCGGATGCCCAGGCCGTCGGATCTGACTTGCTCGCGGTACGTTGTGTTGTCTCCTACTAGTATCATCCCCATGGGCTCAAACAATCAAGCTAGGTGCTACCCGAAATCCCTACACCATGGTACCGTACCAAGCACTTGCTTCTGCTCAACCTGATCCTCTTGATCCCAGTGTTGTCGTCGGCAGCAGTTGGCTTTGACGGTATGTTTCCACCCAAAACAAGTCTACCAAGTAAGGTTTCTGAATGTATGTGATAATAGGTGCAATGACGAACGGTTCAAACACTCGGGCAATGGCACGGATACTTTGACAACCTGACTTTGTCTATATTCGGAACTATGAACGCTGTGTATCCCATTGGAAAGATCATGGGCCTAGTTCCGCCGACATAACTGGCAGACAAGTACGCCAGAAAGGCCCCCATATAGCTTGGGTTCTTCTTTCTCCTCGTCGGAGCGGCCATCCAGGGCGCCAGCCGGAATCTGCTCATGTTTATCATCTCTCGTTGGCTTCTGGGCGCCGCCACTGCCTTCATTGCGCATCCTGCGCCGATCCTCGTTACATTACTTGCCTACCCTACGATGGGAGGTAAAATAAGTGCGCTCTATAACACCTTTCTCGCAAGTCTGTCCTATCCTTCGCCACACCAAAGCTGTGCTGAAATACGGTTGCCAGTTTCTCGGAGCTAATATCGCCGCCTTGTCTACATATGCAACTCTCTGTATGTCTTCCACGTGAGCTTGGAGAATTCCTTCTGTCTTGCAGGGTGCAATCCCGGCATTTCAGGTGGCATTCTTCTACTTCATTCCAGAGCCTCCGAGATGGCTCGTTGCCCACGGGAAGACCGAACAGGCCTGAGGGCTTCTCATCTGCCACCACGCCGGTGGCGACGAGTCCTCAGCCCTTGTCGACTATGAAATCAGGCAGATCAAAGAGAACATTCGCCTCAAAACCGAGGCTGCCAAGGAATCTTCTTATGTCGGGCTTCGAACCGCCGCCGGGTGCTCATTGTCTGCATTGTCGGTGTTGGCTCACAATGGAGTGGTTCCTAGCCTGTTTCGTACTACGTCAATCTTGTTCTGAACATAGTTGGGATCACAGCGACCAAGGATCAAGGCCTCATCAACGGTCTCCTCCAATTGTTCAATTGGATTGCAGCGGTGTTTGCTGGTGTCATGATGGTTGACCGGATTAGTCGACGGAAGCTCTTTCTCGCTTACACTAGGGCTGTGCTTGTATGTTACGTCGCGTAGACCATCCTCACGAGTGTCTTCAGCAGAACGAAAGACGAGAGAGCTAGCTATGCCGTAGCAGCATTCATCTTCATTTATTACTTCTTCCACGACATTGCCTGGACGCCGCTCCTAATGGCGTACCCGGTTGAGATTTTCCCGTACAGTCAGTGTGGAAGGGTCTTAACGATTGCCCTCAGTTCTACATTCATCAGTCTTATTATTGGCCAGCTTTTGCAACCCTATCGGACTGGCCACCCTGGGCTGGAAGTACTACATTGTCTTCTGCATCCTCTTGACCCTTTTGCTCTTCTTGATATGGCTACCTTTTCCCGAGACAAAGGGCCGAACCTTGCAGCAGATTGCCGAAATCTTCGACGGCAAGAACCACAGACTTGGTGCTTGCGGTATTGGCGAAGGAAAGGCCGATGACGCCAAGGTTCAAGAGGTGGAAGATTATGCAGATACAGAGGCTTGAGCTCCTCGCCAACAAGTCTTGCTGGGAATTACTTCACGGGCTCTTCAATACATTTGGCGGAAGTGTTGCTTATCATTGCAGGAATGGCGCATACTGATCGCATTAGACTTTACGACTTTCCTGACGAAAGATAGGAAGACAAGATCAAACGATGTTAAGTCTTTGCGGACCGGATGGCCAATTGAACGATCGAATCAATCGAATATTGTTGAAGAAGGCTATTGTTGTCCCCAACTTCCGCTTATTCTCACACCTAAAGCAGTTCTCCAACAGAGAATCCCCTCTCCACGCATAAGCAGGGATTCTGACTTTGGACGCGGGGTTTTATGTCATGCGCACGATCCTCCTTGAGGTGAGTAGGAATGCAATCTCTCACGGGGCGATAGGTCAACCAACTGTTCCCCCGGATTGACGAATGTCAGTCGCAACACTTGACTGCGACGTGAGCTGGAAAAAGTCGGCAAAAGCCAAGCATAGGGGAAACTGGAGAAACCGGGGTTTGACAAGGAATAATTTGGAGAGAACCCGTTTGGACGTATCAAGTTTCGTTCCGCTCTCCGAGTCCCCCGCTGGTCGCATTGTGGCTCTTCCATGTCTGGGGGAGGTTCCTCAAGCGACCTCGGAACTCGGTGCCATCCCCAGACCCCTAACCTTCACGATGCAAACATTTCATCCGCAAAATGAGCTTGTTCTCCGCTGTCTCACGTCTTGGCTGCGCGACCGAAAGCTCTTCGAGATCCTTGACAGGTTCTTGGAGCCCTGCATTGGCAGTTCCGAGACTACCAACGTCATTCCGAGCTCTGTCCTGCCCCCGGCTTCCCGGAGCTTCTGCCCTCTCGGGGCAGCACCCCTACACACCGGTTTCTCTGCGTCTGGGGGTTCTCCCGAAGTCACAGGGAAATAATGGAGCCAAAGCCGAAGCGAATCAAGATTGATGTGGCATGCGAAGCATGCCGGAGGAGGAAGGCTAAATGCGACGGGGCACGACCAGGTGAGTTATCAGTGAGCAGTTCCTCCTGCGCTGTCAAGACCTTTCTTTGTATCCGAGATTCTTAAGCCGTCAGTTATTACACCGGAACGATTTGGATCGTCCTCGAACGATGCCTTGCGACATGCCATGAGATGCTTTGGCGGTTTTAGAGCTGATATGAGGACACAGCATGCGGAAACTGCTGGAAGAGGACAGATCTGAGGGACGGGTGTAAATACAGCTCCGAAGCCGTCGATAAATCTTTCCCGAGAGAGAGGACTGGCGAGGTCAGCCCAAGCAGTTCCGGGGGGAGATTGCCAAAGAGTATACACACGCCGCCAGATGCCAGCTTTGTGCAACCTTTGACGGCGCCCACTACTCGTCCACCTGCAACAGTAGAATCGACGACGTCCCCAGGGCCGTATCTCGCGAGGCGAAGCCGCTTTGAAAGGCATCCAGTAACTCCATCTGACGCTAGCCCCTCGGTTGTTGACTCGATGACCACAGTCCGTGAAGACGGGAAGGTCACCGGTGAGTAGTTCGGCAGCAGCAGCGCCGGTTCGTTCACGAACCAGATCAAGGATGCCATTGATGCGCGGCTGGGCTCGAGGACGGAGGCCAAAGGTGTAAAGAACTCTCTCTTTCGGCCTGCGTTGCCCCTCAATGAGGGAGGTCCAGGAAGTCAGGCAGATTACGTCTTACCGGCTCGGAAGCAGGCCGATCACTTGATGGATCTCTATTGGTATTACGTCGACCCGTTATACCCATTTCTTGACCAGCAGAGATTCGAGCATTCTTACAGAGCACTCTTCGCCGGGACCACGATCGATGCTGACGAACGCATCTTCGTGAGCATTCTTAACCTCATCTTCGCGCTCTCCACGCAGTTGATTGAGTGCATGACGCCCGAGCAACGATATTCGTCTAGCCAAGCATACTTTGAACGGGCGCAGGATCTGCTTCAATTCGGCCTCTGGGGTAATCCATCGAGCTTATCCAGTGTCTGCTCATCATGAGCCAATACCTACAGAGCACCAATAATCCACACCAGACATGGATGGTTGTAGGATCGGTCGTGAGGATCGCCCAAGGCCTTGGGTTGCATTTGCCCGAGACGTCGTCGGGGCTTTCGAGCGAGTCCGAAAGGAATCTCGTTAAACGCATCTGGCATGGATGCCTCCTGATGGACCGGTAAGGATACTTTCGCGTTTCGGGCCTCACAAGACAGGTTTCTTACTCGACAGTATAAGATGATCGCCATCACGCACGGGCGGCCGGCCATGATTTCAGATCAACTCGCTTCGAGCGTGGTTCTGCCGTCGATACCAGACGCGGGCGACACCACCGAGAACGGACTCCAACTGGACGCTGTCTCCTTGCACAAGCTTCGGTACCATGGCTTCTTTCATAAGTCTCCAGAGCTCTACGAAGTGATCCATCATGCAGTCCTGGCCTTCTACTCATCGACCTCGCCGTTGAGATGGCCCATACACCCCGATGGTGCAGGTCACAACAGCCAGCGTTCCTCGGAGCGACCCGAGCTAGACCTCGGCAAAGCCTTACAGCTGGACCAGCAATTGACTAGATGAGATAAGAGTCTCCCCAGCTTTTTGAGAATCAGCGAACCCGAAACAACTTTGGATGAGGTGTTCCGGAGACAGGCGGTAATTCTGCGCATCAGGTAAGTTGAGCGGCAAAGTCTCGCTCCATCCATTCACACTGTTGTTCTGACCCTTCTCCAGGCTTCTTCACGCTCGCATGCCGCTCCTCAGACCCATGCTTGCTTGTTTCTGTCTATCGCAGTCCCCGGAACCATCCCGGGTCCATGATGACCTCTCTTCGCGCGTCGTGCAACAGTGCGCGATGGTATGTGTCGAGGCCGCGCAAAGCCTCATTTCGTTCATCGTCCAGTTCCAACGCCACGACGGCTCACTCGGCCTACTCCCCGCCTGGTGATACCGCGTGTTCTACATCTACACAGCAGCGACCGTTCTCGTTGCGGCGAGGCTTCAGCCGGCGGTATTCTCATCTCTGGATATTTCCCGCTCGTGGAACCAAGCGATGGGCCTTCTCCACGACCACGAAAGCCTCAGTCCGTCAGCGAGGAGATGCACGGCGGCGCTGCAGATCCTCTCGACAAAGATGTTCCAGGAGCAGCAACCGCAGTCGACTAGTCTTCCGAACTCGGAGGTCAACCCAGCCGTGCCAAGCATGTCCAATGATCAGCAAGAGACCTTTGATATGCCTTTTCCGTCCATGGAGCAAGATACTGCCTTTGACATGGACGCAATATCCTTCGACGTGAGCGACTTTTCCTGGCTCAACAGCATGCCGGGAAGTTTGTAGACGGCATGCAGCAGTCAATCACTATGTATCATAAACTGCGAAATACCCGGCTTTAGGCCCACCAAGCCGCAGTCATAGGCTTGGGAGCGCACGATAATGATTGAGACAGAGAATCAACTTGATGTAAAGCCCTGGGTCCATCATAGTGATTAGAAACCTGTCTGCTTTTCTTTCTTCCCATGGGCGAGGATACTAGATTCTATAGCTCACCCCCATACTATATGGGTTATTTGGTCGAAAGGTATATATAGATGATACATGCTATCATACTACGCAGAGCATTTTCCAGAATGCTCAAGGTCTACGTGACAATATGTTGTCCCTGACAACTAGAAATGAGCCTCCTTGACTTTTCGAGACAGAACTCACCACCCTCTTCCGCATGGTAATTTTCTTTCCGACTCTGAACGTCTTCAGCCTCGGATTCAGCCTCGAATTCAGCCTCGGAAGCGGGACCTGATCCTCTTTGCATATCTCGTCTAACCGATCAGGACCATCTGTGCAGTGCCTCCGTCACCGGGCCATAACTTTCCCTGAGCCTCTCGCCGCCCAATCCTTCATCCATAGTCCCGACACCCTGGGTCTTAGAGAAGAAGTTCCTCACAGCCCAAGCCCCCTTTCAGCCACTGGAAGTAGCATGGATCCATCCTAGAGGGGCGCGACAGCATCCTATAGAGAACTACGCGGAAAACCCCGGGTGTCCGGCACGCCGGAAGAGGGACGCTGCGGACGCCCCGGTTCCCCGGATGACGCTTCGAGGGGGGAGGAATGGCGCCCCAAATCCTGGTTAAATGATGCCGAAGCTGTTTATAGCCCTAGGTGACCACGGCGTTGATGGCCGTGAACAGGATTCCCATCTCTGAACGCATTATGGTGGTCCGTTAAAAACATGAAACAGGGCTTGGGAGAGGAGCCGTGTAACCATCACCGCCATCCAAGGAGGACGAGAGGCATGTGTTCCAGAGAGCATTTTCTGGAGGGCATGCCATCCATGGAGTGGAACGCCTCTTCCATCAGTATAGGCGGCATCACATGTGTCGCCTCGCCCGGGGGGGGAGGCTGCGGTCAACCATCCTCGATTCCTCGCCATGGTGGTGATTTCAAGGTCACCCCTGACCTTGGGCTCTGTTGCTTGTCGGGCGTTTTAACTCTTCCATGAGACGGAAATTGCCGATATAACAACTTCACCACGAATTGAGGCTTGTTGTGGCGGCGGCCTTCTGACCGCTTCTGCGTTGGTAGCTTCGCAGGTGGCGTGAATGTGAATACATTTCCCAATACGTGGCTTTACAACGCTTCAATAGGCGTTTTGCCCAAGCAATTCGGGACGAGTCACTCTCGAAATAAGACCGCAAAGATCCAGCTCCTCGTCAGGGATCCGCCATAATCAGCTCATCGTGGAAGCAACGTGGGTTGAAGGATCGTGCCCAAAGGAGGAGGGGGGTCCGTTGTAGGCGCATAATAGTTCTTTCTTCTCCCACCCCCCCCTTTGGACGTGAGGCTAAAGTCACAAGCATCACGATGCCAAGAAAGGACCACCGCCACCTCGACGCATCGCTGTTTTCCCAGCTGAATCAAAACTACCCAACCGCCACGGTGGCTTCAACTGGCCCCAATCCCCCTGGTCCAAGTTGATAAGAGCGGCCCTCGATAAGCGTTAGCGCGCCATGGAGCAAGCCGCAGAACGTGTTTTTTTGCATCCAAAGACATGGCTTGTCTCGTCCAGACACTAAACAAACAAGGCTTGCGCTGCGTCGCGCTTTTCCGACCTGCCAAAGCAATCAACGGCGCACGGCAGCGCGAGCCACAGACGATTTGCACGCTCTCTCTCGATTGTGAGGCTGATGATGAACCGGGAGCATTTGCTACGACGGCGTCGAGGGACGACACATGGGTGGCTTTCTGCATCGATAAGACAACAACGCAAAAACGCTCCGCGGAGACGGACTTTTTAAAATTCCCATTGGCCGCCTTCAGCAGACGGACGCGCCGAGACCCAATAATTCTCCGATGCTCGTGTAAGACTGAGAATGCTCGTCGTCTGAGACAACGTCCAGAGTTCTAGACCGCGCTGTGGCTTGCGCAGACATGCGCGCGCGGGGGGGGGGGGGGCATCAAGCCTAACCGCTTCCCGGATCGCGAAAGGGAAACCAGTAGCCGCACCATGGAAGAGGAAAGCCACACTTCCATCCCAACGCCCTGGTCGAGCGACCCAATAGTCTGGTACAGCCGTTCAGCTCCAAAGCGGGCGTTTCCTCCAGACGAGCGTGGCGGACAGCGCGGACCAAAGGGCTGAAGGAAGATGGTAACCGGGTGGGTGGGGGGGGCGTGGAAGGGATCAAGGGAGGAATATGGGGAGATTACGCGCGCACTGGGAGTTTTCACAGGATCTGAGTAAGGCGTCTTCTAGTATAGTTTAGTCTGGAAGAACGGAGTGCCCCCGGCCACCCATCCACACCCTCGGTTGCCTCGAGAGGGGGAGCTAGACAGAATTAGCGAGGTTCGGAACCACGCGCGAGGAAACAGTCCGTCTGGTGTCTCGGAGTATTAGTGTCAGAGTAACGTGAGACGGAGGGGGGCGCCAGACGAGCCCCTCCCGCGTGCCAAGTTCCAGATTCCCTTGGACGGAGGAGGGAAAAAAGAAATGAGAGCTGGAAACCGAGGCTGAACGCGCGGGCTGCGTTTTGGTTCGTGACCCCTCCTCGCTTCCAGCTGTCGGGATGGCGCGGGATGATTCCCTCGGCCGTTTTGGGCCGTGGTGAGACGCCGCGGAGCGTCTGGGAGCTGGGGTGGAAGCCAAGGAGGACATTCACATGCAAAGTAGATGAGATGAAGATGATGGATTCTTGATATGTTCTGATTTGGCTAGCTAAAATATAGACTTGAAAAGTTGAAAAAAGAAAATGGCGGTTTCTAGCCGCTGGGTATCCCGATAGAATCGAACGCTCATCTAACCCCCCCTCCTCAGATGAGCTCAGTATCTCCGAATTGTAACCATGTGCCACGTCTCGTGCCGTCACGATGTTTTCGTCTGCTTTCTCTCCCCTGAATCCGGTCCAAAATGTGTGCGTGAAGAAGTGAAAGCAGTCCCTTGTCTCCCACGCACCGATGAACGATATTCATAGCCGTCGTCATAATAAACAGGAAAAGGAAAAAGTGGCGCGTATGAAAGCCTCTGTATTATGCCGCGACGATCTCCGGCCTCAGGTGCTTCATGGGAGAGGAGTCGACAGAGGCGAAAGACGGGCGCTTCAGGCGCAGCTCGACAAAGTGGCCGACGACGCTCCTGACCTGGTCTTCGAAGCCCTGCAGGCGGAAGCCGAAGACGGCCTCGGTGGCGGAGGCGTCGAAGTCGATATTGACGGTGCCGACGGAGCCGCTGCTGCAGACGAGCTTGCGCTCGACGGCCTCGGGGAAGCTCCTCTTGGCGATGAGCTTGGCGTCGTTCCACCGCGCCTTGGTGCTGAGGATGTAGCTCCGGTTGCCCGGGATGCAGGGCTGGAGGGCCTGGACGTGGGCGCGGGCGACGTCGTCGACGTGGACGGTGGCGCCGGCGAAGCTGCAGCCCCATTTCTTGCCGAGCAGGGTGGCGAGGATGACGGCGTTGGTGCCCTTGATGGCCTCGTTGGTCGTGGTGGCGATGTCGTTGCGGCCGATGACGAAGGCCGGGTGCAGGTGGACGACGTCGAAGCGGGGCTGCTCGCGGGCGATCCAGGCCTCGGCGCCCTTGAGGGCGGCGACCTTGGATGCGGCGTAGGCGGCGAACTCGCTCTCGTACGGCTCGGGCTTGAAGCCCGTCCGCTCTTCGGGCCGGACGGGTATCGCGCGGCGCTCGCGGCCCTCCATCTGGTCCACCGACGCGAGGGCGGCGATGGAGCTGGTGATGACGACGCGGCGGACGGTGCCGGCGCGCTTGGCGGCCTCGAGCATGCCGAGGGTGCCGCGGACGGCGGGCTGGATAAAGTACTCCTGGTGCAGCTCGCGGGGCACCGAGTCGGCGGTCGCGATGGGAGAGGCGACGTGGATGACGGAGGAGACGCCGCGGATGGCGTCGTCATATGCGCCGTCGGCGGTGATATCCGGCACGATGGTGAAGTTGAGCCTGGCGCGGGGGAGGCAGAGGGCGCGGATCTGAGGACGTGAGCGGATGAAGTCGGCCTTGGCCTCTGAGCGGACGGCGCAGCGAACGGTGTGGCCGGCCCTCAGGGCGTGGACGAGGACGGCGAAGCCGACGTGGCCGGTGACACCTGTGATGAGCAGGAGCTCGTCTGGTAGTATACACAGCATGGCTGCTGAGAAGTGATGGGAGGGTTGGTTTATATGTGTGTAGGGGTTCTTTTTGGTTGATGATTGGATGAAACCGGACGTCCTGTAAGTGAAGTCCAGAAGAGGGAAGACGATGTAATAAGTAATCGGTTGTCCGTATGATGTTGATCTGTTATGGAGAGCGAACCTTTCTTAGACGGGAAGCTGGTGCGAAGGGGGGGGGGGAGGCTTGATATATCTGTTCTCGGCAAGGTTGCGTTCGCACTACATTCCTCCCAACCCTCGTCTTCGCAGCTGGCTCTCCCTGCTTTTGCCTGCTTGAACCTCCTGTCGAGTCTTCTTGTTGGCCACCAAGGAGGCTCAGATAGATGAACGCCACGTGCAAGAGGGGAGGGGAGGGGGGTGGGACAAAAAGGGGGTTCCCTGAACCCATCTCGCACACAGATACCCCCCTCCCCTCACTCTTCACACCCCCCCCCCCCCCCCCCCCCCCCCCTCGAGAAACCACTCACACAACACGGGCTTGGGCGGGCAGGATCGGGTAACAACAACAACAACAACAATCCGACCTTGATTTCGGGGGGCGAGAGCCGACGAAGATGATGGCTTGCTCCCTTGTGTGCTTGCGCGGTGTTGGCGTCAGCCAGCACTCATTCGCCATCAATGCACTAGACGCCTGACCCCCCAAGGATCGTTGCTCTCGGGTTATGTTAGTCCATTATTCAACTGCATGGTGAGGTAACGTGGAGACGGCTGGCATGCTTACTACCTACATAGTACTCCGTAGGTACTACCCAATGGTGAAATGCACATGTAGGGCTGGCGTGGCTCTTTCGGCTAGTTGCTGCTGCTCATACATAGTACAGTCTTCACTTATCACGTTAATGCCCTCCCCCCGGTCAGCTAGGCGGGTGTTGATACCCGATTGGCTGAGGGGGTGCGTGTGTGATGGTGGTGTGCCCCATTCCACAGCCCTCTTCCCCCTTCAACGAGCCGCACTGACATGCGCATCAAGCATCACCCCCCTCCCCTCTTGGGCCCCAGCATTGGGTCCTGCGGGGGTGGGAACGCTACCGAGAAAACTCTGATTGGGTGAGGGATGGGCATATGGACGACGAAACTGTCGAGGGTAATGAAGAGAGGAAACAGGGGACGAAAAAGTCGGCAGAGGTGAACGAGACCCTGCAGCAGCAGCATAGCCTGGGCCAAGTCCTGCCTACACGTCGTCCAAGAAGAGGAAGGCTATGTTATGTGGTGGTTGGTAGACCACCTCATGAGAGAGATACTCGTAACTCGCAGAACACGGCCATGAAATGGGTTCATGCGCATCGTCGGTGGATTCAACGGTTCGCTCTGCTGTCAACCCCCCCCCTTCACCTCCTCTTCTGGAAGATACCGGAGAGTGGCTGTCCATCTACCCAACCAGCCTGGCACGACCCAACTTGGCACTATTCATTCGCGACAATCAAGTGACGCAAAGCTCGAGGCTATCCCGCCTAGGCCGGTATCAGACTGGTGGACTAGCCACGCAAGCCCACCTCGCGCGCCAGATTTGATCAAGCATAGCGCCCATCCATCACGCCAAGCCGAACCCCAAACTGAACAAATCAACATTGTCCAGTAGCGCCCCCCCCCCCCCCCCCCCCCCCCTCCTCCCCGCGTGACGGAAGAAGACGAGGGTGGAAAGAAAGAAAGAAAAAAGAACAAGGGCGGGCATCCAAGCAAAAATCCAAGCATATCCATCCAGCCTAGGCCAGGAAGCAGCTGTCGACGCGATGTATCAATATCAGTGGAACGGCGCACCGCCAGACCCCGTTCTAGACTGATCAAAAGGGGGGAGGGCATGCGGTGGCGCAACGAGTTTTGATTGGCAACAACTAGACGAGGGCCGTCTGTCTCTCTGCCAGGTTCACGGGGCAGCCGCCGCATAGTGTAGAGCTGATAGGTATGCTGGTTTTGCCCATTGCTTTTCCCTGGGCTCTGCCACTTCTGTCTCGAACCAATGGCATGCAGAGAGGTTGAGACGGTAGTAAGTGTAGTAGCGACGAGAATCAGGCGAGTTCGGAGCAACTTTCCCGTCTATGCTCCTCTCTCTCCCTCTTTTTTTTTTCTTTTTTTTTCCTTTTCTTTTCCCCTTCCCACTCTCCAATAACCCAAAATTTCGGGCCCGGCCAATAGTGTTCTGTAGCCGAGCACGCTTGGCTATGGTGACCTGTCGGGTTGCATAGCCTCTGCGCGCGCGTCGACGCTATTGCGTTTGCTTCAAACCGGCCACTTTTTCTTTTGGCACCGTCATTGCCAGTCAACCAACCTCTCTCCACATCATGATTCGCCCCTCTCGCTCTCTTTCCCTTGGGCGCCATTGGACACCGGGAGATCGGCGGAGGCTGCCGGGCCACTCGAATCCTCGGTACCGACTGGCTGGGCCGTCAGAAGAAGCCTTCCCTGCCAGTCCATCACCCCTTGGCGCATCCTTCTTGTGCTCCCCCTCCCCTCTCTCGACCCCCTTTCTCTTACCTCGCATAGCGTCGTGGAAAGAGGGACAGCAAAGACAGGGGGTGAGAGAGAGAGAGAGAGAGAGAGAGAGACGCCGCGACATATGGCGGGCAAATGAAAAACAACAATCCGCCAGGCCTGGACCGTTATGGAAGTTCGACCTGCTAAGGCGCGTCCCCGTCTGAGACAAAGAACGCACCGTGGGCGAGACGACGGCAGCGCGCCACTGCGTCTCATCATGAACGCCTCATATCCCAAATAGAAACATGAGCATTATCAGCCCACTGCCTTTTCGCAGAAAAACCAAAAGCAGGTCCCTGATAAAGCTATGCGTAGAGGTGTCATGCTTGTCAACTCATCAATGGTGCGTGTGTGTGCGCGCGTGCGAGCGATCGCCTTGGGCTTTTGTGAATCTGGGCGTGTGGGGAGTGTGGGTGTGTGTGGGTGTGTGTGAGAGTATGTGAGAGTGTGAGTGAGTGTGAGAGTGAGAGAGTGTGTGAGAGTGCATGGGAGGGGTCAGAGGACAGGGCTTGGGAAGCACCTCAGCCGCCGATACCGCCATCAACAAGACATCACCGACTCCTCGAGTCAACACATAGTATCCGTATAGGTAGAGGAGAGGGGAATGAAAAAAATGAATGGATGGACGAACGGATAGCCGCGGCACGGGCCCCCGCCTCATGGCCACGCTGTTCTCGCGCCCCCGGCCGCCGTGAGTGGTCCAACCCGTGCACCTACATAAGCCTCCGTCTCAACTTGTTTGAGTTCTATTAGGGATTGGGGTCAGACAGTGAGGCGGGGGAAAACAAACGAAAGGACAGGATTCCGGGACCGTGAGGAGGAATGCATCGGAAAACGAATGAGAGTGAGTCGACCCCTCATTCCTCTCCCGGTCCTACGACGAGCACCAACCAATAACAAACCCGTCGCGACACAGGAATAGTGATACGCACGACTGTCGCTCCTTCGGCTCGTTTGGTAATGATGTGACTCAGGAGCACTGAAGGGATCCCGAGCACGACGGATGAGGTATGTCGCCTTCGGACTGTTGTTGTCGTTGTCTGGGTATCAAGATGAAGCCCCCCCCCCCCCTGCTTCTTGGGACGCTCAGACCAGTCGTGAAAAACATCACGGTCCAAATACACGCACACTTCGAGAACCATGACGAACTCTGCCTGGATCGTTCATCGTGCCACTGCAGAGTACCTGTAGATCCGACTGCAGACTGCAGGGTGATGCATGGCTAGGTGGCCGACAGTTCTGCCGTCTACCCCGCCGACTCTCGTCCGTCTTCTATGCCTGGGGTTGGTATTCGAGATGCATGTGGCCGCGGTCTGAGCGGCATAAGATGAGCTAATGCAATTCAAAGGGATGAAGTTGAATGCTGCGTGAGGGTTCGAGGAGGAGAAGAAAACGTCCTGGAAGAGGGGGCCGTTGGGCAAAGACGTGTCATCAATTCCAGCGCAACTCGGCTCTTGGGATAGAGGATCCACGACCCTGTTCAGTTTTCCCCTCTTGTTGGGCTTGTGTTTGCTTCCCCCCCCCCTCGCCGAGGCCTCTTGTGATACCCTTCTGGATAGCTCAACCCAATCACCTCGTGTCACCTCGTGTCACCTCGTGTCACCCACTTGCTTTTTTGTTCGTCTTTGTTTCCTACTTCTTTTTTTGTCCCCCTTTGTCCGTGACCCTCGAGAAACATTCTGTTTCGAGGGGATGAGTCGATTATTCATCGACACAAGACACTCGGAAAGGTTCAGATTCCCATATTTGCTCAACTGTTGTTTTCTTCATCCCTTTGTTCCTCATGTCTCACACCTTGTTTCTTTTCCCGTCCTCCCGTTACAGTCAATCAAGTGGCTGATTGAGCGGCCAGCTGGCCGTTTGGAAGGGACCCTTGCTCGACCCCCCTCCACCCCTGGTCGACGTGCTGGTGAGGGAAGCCCTCCGGGACGCGCGTCAGAATCTTCGCCAATCGCGCCGCATGGCGGCAGACCAAGATGGTGGCAAGGGCGACCGCAAACGAACTGAGTCCACGAGAGGGCTGCGGAAAGGGCTTGTCTCTTGTTTTCTGTGACCGCCGGTTCTGACTATTGCGTCGTGATCGGCGCATGTCGCATGTTGGGACCAGCGCTGCTCCTCGCCAAGCGATGATGGGCACACCCGGTCATGCTAGGTACCTGCCGGGATCCCTTGGCTCCCTACCGCCGAGAAGGTTAGAGGGGAACCCGCTCGCAACTGCCGGGAGTGGGGCCCCGTTGGGAGCCCGCTATCGTCTGTGACCCCTGGCCCCGGTAGTTCTTCCCCGTTGACGCCCTCGGGGAGGACCCTGAATGCGACTGGATGCGAAGGTTTGCTAAGGCGGAAGAAGCCGGTGCAGATCATCTGAATGAAACGGATAGTCGGTCCGAACTAGACGCATTCGGTCTGCTGCATAGCGATCAGTAGAGTCGCGAGGTGCCCTCCCAAGAAGGCAACAAAGAGAGTCTCGTCTCTCGAACCCGCCGGGCCCGAAGAAGAACTCTGTG